TTTTCAACTTCATTTTTATATTGAATGAAAGTTTCCAAAGCTTCATCCTTGGTTCGAATTAAATAAACATAACGATATCTAGTATAGTCATCTATAAAAGTGATAAAATACTTTTTCCCATCTCTAGTTTGAATTGATTTAAAATCACAAATGTCATGATGAATTAATTCAAGTGGTTTCGTACTTCTTTCAATTGAATGAAAAGGAGTTTTGGATAATTTTGCCTCAACACAAATTTCACATTTATGATTTAAATCAATGTCAAATTTAGGTAAACATTCCATATTAATTAATCTATGCAAAGATCCATAATTAACATGTCCTAGTCTACAATGCCATAAATTTGAAGACTCAAGCAAGTAAGAAGAAGATGTATTTTTATTAATAACAGAGGGTACAACAGTCATTACATTCATTTTGAAAAGGCCATCAAACATGTAACATTTTCCTACATATATCCCGTTTTTGGTAAGTACAAACTTGTCACTTTCAAAAACTAGCATAAATCCATTTTACTCAACAAAGATCCGGAAACAAGGTTCTTGCGAATATCCAGTACATGCAGCACATTATTGGGAGCGAGTTCCTTTCCAGATGTCATCTTCAGAATAATCTTTCTTTGTCCTTTAACTTTGGAAGTTGAAGAGTTGCCCATAAAAAGTTGTTCACCGTTGTCCATTATAAAATAAGATGTGAACATCTTTTTGCCGGCACAGATGTGGCGAGTAGCACCAGTGTCCACCCACTATTCCTTAGGATTTCCGACAAGGTTTTCCTCAGAAACAAATGCAGAAAGATTTATGTCATTAACACCATTGGAAATTTTGTCCATTTCGGTCATATTGGCTTGAGCAGGCTTCTTGCTTGAAGGAGTTTTGGATAATTTTGCCTCAACGCAAATTTCACATTTATGATTTGAATCGATGTCAAATTTAGGTAAACATTCCATATTAATTAATCTACGCAAAAATCCATAATTAACATGTCCAAGTCTACCATGCCATAAATTTAAAGACTCAAGCAAGTAAGAAGAAGATGTATTTTTATTAATAACAGAAGGTACAACAGTCATTACATTCATTTTGAAAAGGCCATCAGACATATAACATTTTCCTACATACATCTCGTTTTTGGTAAGTACAAACTTGTCACTTTCAAAAACTAGCATAAACCCATTTTACTCAACAAAGATCCGAAAATAAGGTTCTTGCGAATATCCAGTACATGCAGCACATTATTGGGAGTGAGTTCCTTTCCAGATGTCATCTTCAGAATAATCTTTCCTTGTCCTTCAACTTTGAAAGTTGAGGAGTTGCCCATAAAAAGTTGTTCACCGTTGTCCATTATAAAATAAGATGTGAACATCTTTTTGCCGGCACAGATGTGGCGAGTAGCACCAGTGTCCACCCACTATTCCTTAGGATTTCCGACAAGGTTTTCCTCAGAAACAAATGCAGAAAGATTTATGTCATTAACACCATTAGAAATTTTGTCCATTTCGGTCATATTGGCTTGAGCAGGCTTCTTGCTTGTTTTTCTTTTGCTTTTGCATTTGCTACGGCAATATTTGGCCCGATGTCCCTCTTTGTTACAGATGTAACACTTGCCATTAAACTTGCATTTTTTAGTTTTTCCTCCTTTAGAGCCTTGTGAGGAACTTTCTCCAGAAAACTTCCGTTTCTTGGCTTTTGGAGCATATTCCACCATATTTGCCTTTGACTACATTGGATGTTTACCAGCCTACTTTTCAGAATTGCGGTTGTCCTCTTCAATCCTCAAACGCAAAATCAATTCTTCTAAAGACATTTCTTTGCGCTTGTGTTTGAGGTAGTTCTTGAATTCCTTCCAGCCTTGTGGTAATTTCTTAATTAAGGTAACAACTCAGAAGGATTCACTGAGAGACATGCCTTCTGCATGAATGTCATGCAGAATGAGTTAGAGATCTTGAACTTGGCTAATCACAGTCTTAGAATCAACCATCACAAAGTCTAGGAATTTGCCAACCACAAATTTCTTTGAGCCAACATCTTCTGTTTTGTACTTTTTCTCCAAAGACTCCCATCCTTTGTTGTTTTGATAGGACTGTAGAAGTTGTATAATGTGTTGTCAAGTCCATTCAAGATGTAGCTCCGGCAAAGGAAATCAGCGTGTTTCCAGGCATTGACCGCAGCAACCACTTGCCGGTCAATTTCATCCTCATTCAGAGTAAGAGCATTCTCACGGAGAAAACGAGCCATGTTTAGAGTTATAAGATAGAACAACATTTTCTGCTGCCATCTTTTAAAATCAGTTCTTGAGAACTTCTCTAGCTTCTCATCGTGATTTACTGGTATTGTCACAACAGGAGGAGGGGTTGGTGCAATTGCAGTCACCATACCAGTACTAGTTTGAGCAGTAGTTTCTGTAGCCATGAATTCTAAATTATAAAACAAAATTATAATTATAATTTCATACTGCACAGAAAATTAACCAAAACCACAGAATTAAACTCTGTAAAAATAAAAAAAAACAAAAATTGTAACTTTTATTTTCAATTAATTTGAAAATAAAATAAAATTTTATTTAAACAAATTAATTCTACACAAAAAATTAAATTTCTGTAACACTTCAATAATTAAAATACCGAAACAGAATTTTAATTAATGAACACTCATAAATTATTTATGAAAACCAAAATTAATTTCTGATAAACTTCACAAATAAATATTCTGAATTGTTAATGATACCAATATATTACTACTCATTATCAAAGAAAATAGACAGCATATGACTACTATCTATCAAACAGTATATAAGTACTATTTGTTTTTCCAATTAGAATATTATTTTGTAAAACCACATAAAATAATTTTCGTAATAAGAAGAAAGAGAAAAGGAAACAAACGAAAAATTATGTATAAACAGAATAATTCGAATCTATCTTAAGATTGTTGGAACAATCTTCTGTGTAAAATAAATAACTAGAAACAAATCAAACAAATAAAAATAAATTACTTATCGAATTTATTTTACAGAATCGAATAAATAATTAAAAGATCAAGTTGAGTGTGTGACACTTTGTCCTTAAGACAGATTCGCCCCGCCACGGTATTTATGGACAAATGGCATCTATTTCCCAGGATACAATGATCTTCACAAATTATAGTAGCACTCCAAACAATTTGTACGGCGAACAAAAAACCTGTGTTCTAGTACTTCTGAATTTTTCTCTAAAACTAGTATGAAGAATAATAATGCAAGAGAGAAAAATAAAGGCAAGAAAATCAATTAGTTTGAATCACTTGACTACTGGAAATAGTCTGCTATAAATAGACCCAAACAGATCCGAAAATCAAACTGAATAGGTAGGTTTTTAAATGAACAGGTGCAACAGATATAATTCAAATTTCAAATAGATAACTGCTTCCAACTGCAACAGATTTGCTGGCAGTTTTGAACAGATAAATGTTGGGCAGTTTGGATCTATCCGGGTAGTTTTAAACCTGTAAAACAGTTTGAATCTGTTCAAAAATTTGAATTTGTTGTGGAAATCGAAAGAGGCACAAATTTTGGAAAAAAAACATTTTGAAATTCAAATAAATTTTGTCCAAAAAATTAATGTTAGAACCGATCTGACCCACAATGGCACCTGGCACGACTCGGCTGGTCATACGGCTGCAGCGACGGCGTGCCTGTGGTGGTTTGAGCCAAGGTTTACTTTGTTCATAACTCCTCTTTTCTACAAACTTGGGGTGCCCCCTTGGGGCCCAACCTAAGTGTTGCCACCTAGAGCTTATATACAAACACAAGCTCTCTTAAAGTTTCAATATGGGACAACCCATTTCAAGGAAACCCACATTTACTTTTTTAATTATCCATTCCATGAACCCGAAAACAATGTCAAGTTCCCATTCACTCATAAATGGTTTTGACGTATTGTTTTCACCGTGTGACTTACCATGCGGCAAAGAACATGTCACTTCTTCGGACACCCCAAAAGACGTGTGGGACCCTCTCTATTTTGGGCTCAAAGTTAGCCCAAAATAAGCCTATAAAAAACCAAATTTCCAACATATCCTTCTTTGTTTTGTCTTGTTATCCGCTAATATGTGGTTCCTGAACAAGAGGATGGAGTGTTCTTCCTTAGTTAGAGTAGGTGTATTTTCTACTTGGTTCCTTGCTTTTGGCTACTGGATTTTAATAGCTTTTTCAGAATTGCCCTTTTAGGCTTCCATTTGGTGTTTTTTTGCTTTTCCATTGTGCGTTGTGCATAGGTTATCCTCTTTTCCAGTATCCTAAGTTCTGGTGCCTTCTTTTGTGTTTTGATCTGTCTAAGCCAGGTCTTCATCTAGTTGCTGGTGGCTGTGGCTCCTGTTCTTCCCAAATAGGTTGTTGTGGCTGTTGTTTGGTTGCGTATTGGCCTAGAGCTAGAGTGCTTCTTGTTGTTAGTGTTGATTTTGTATAGTTATTTTATTTGTTAGTGTTTGTTTTTCTTTTTTAGTCTAAGCTTATTTGGTTGCTCTGTTCTAGGGCCTGGGGGATATTCCCCTTGTAATCCTGTATATTTTGTTGTTTTATTTTATAACGACAACAAAGGTTTGATTGCTTGGAAGGTCCTTTCATGTTCTATCACAAGTTTCCCATCTTACTAATGTTCACATAAAACTTTCTTTTCGCAGGAAAATACTACTAGTCGGGCAATGCTTCAAACGTTATTCAGCTACAATGAAGGATGCTTTATCAGCTTTTGAAGAACTCTTGATTTTGAATGAGAGTTTTTCTTTTTAAATTTAAATTTTTTACCAAATGTATAATTTATTACACTTTTTCAACTTTCTTACATTAACTTATGTTCAATAACTCAATTACGTTACACATTAACGTTTCTATTATGTTTGACAAATTAATACTAACAAATATTATAAAATGGCAAATTTTAGATGTAAAATTCAATTTTCTGTTCATTTGTGTTGTAACGCCCCCAAAATAATACAATAAATCCAACTGTTATGCGAAAGATATAACAGAAATAAAATACTTTCATTCATCAGAGTTTGTTTATAAAAGTCTTTCATACAGTTAAATGCCATGTAGGCTTACATCTTCCCAAGTCATTGCTTGATTACACAAAAGTGAGCACAGCTCATTACAAATAAAGCCCTTGGCCATACATATAACAAAACCCAATAAAGAAGCTCTTGCTTAATAAAATCCATCCACGCTATTGCCTTGGCAGAAGCATATCACCTACACCTGAAAATGGTATTCCCATATAGGGTGAGCCACAGCCCAGTTAAAATAATCTAACATAATATATGAGGTTTAGCAAAGGTATAAGTACCATGTGCATAAACAATACCGGTACTAAAACATTCACAAACTTGTATATTCATATCATGCTAAGTTGTTCAAACCTTAATCCATTTTCCTCTAATTCATTCCTAGTTCATCTATACTTCTCATTTCATGAGTTAAATTCATTATCTTTCAACAACCAAACTGAGACTACAACTCAATGTTTTTCCCCAATTATGCAAAATACATATAAACACTTCAAGCCTGCCATTTTACGGATATTTCGTCTGCGGGAATCAACACCCATATATATATATGATTTTGGGTCTTTCACCCAGGACACTTCGGCCAACTTGTTTTCAATGGAGTCCATCTCCTTTATCCTCCCAACAAATAATGGAGTCCATCCCCTTTCTCTTCCCAACAAATATACATATACAATGTATTTATAAACATGGTCATATTCATTGACAACCAACAATGGATTAGCATTAAATCGCCTAATCCTCATGCAATTTCTACAACAATCATAGCTATCCTCCACCGATAGCCCAATACATTTATCTCTAAACAGATATTCAATCTCAAGATATATAGTTTATTCGAACTTCCAAAGGTGTGAGATAATACATATCCAATTTCACCATCTATATCAATGATCATCCAATTTCACATTTTCAATGTCAATTCCAATTATTTATACAAAATAATGGTTTAATCAAATTAGGGCAAAATTCCCCTTCTTCCAAAAATCAACCCAAATACTAAAATCAACCATATTGGCACAACATGACCTTATATTCAAACCCCATGCCCATTTATTCCATATTCATCAAAAACCCCTCTTTTCTTTTCACACTCAAATCTTAGATTTGTCCAAACTACAACCAAATACCACCATTTATACACAATAACAAATAGCTAAGCTAAAAACCATATGAGAGTGTAGAAAATCCCTACCTCAAGCTTAGAAAAGAAGATGAGCAAAATAAGGTTGAAACTCCAAAGATGTCGAAACCAACTTCTACTTGGATCAAAATAAAGCTCTTGACAAGATTTACACTTAATCTCAAAGGAGCAAGGCGAGGAGATGCTTCCAAGTGAGTAGATCTAAAGATCTTTGAGCAAAAAGTGATTTTGAAGAGAGAGAGAGTGACTCACGGTTTGGAGAGGGAAGAAGAGAAGAAAAGGTAAAGAAAAGGTCAAGTGAGGGACCTATTTATAGTGCTAGGTCCAAGTAAAATGAAGTCCCAACGTCAACCCAAAAGATCAAGTCAAAATCCCCAAAAAGTAGGGCCCAAAACCGGACTGAAATCTGGAAAAAAAAGTCCGTAGGGGTCGACCCTTGCAACAGAGGTGTCGACCCTTCAGACAGAAAAGCAAAGAATGCAACAGGCAAGGTGTCGACCCTTCCCAGACTGGTGTCGACACCAAATTCCAACAAGCAACTTCCAGATTCAGCAATAAACAAGGGTCAACCCTTCCAGACTGGTGTCGACCCTTAAGGCCAACAACAAAAGGCAAATGTCGACACCACCAAGATTGGTGTCGACCCCTGAATAAGATTTCTAAGTTCCCAAACAATTTTTCAACGTAAACAAGCGTGAACGAACAATCCCAACAAGTTTAAATTAGTTTGTACTCCTTCAAAACCAAGATATAACAACACCAAAGATTTTCAAAATAAAATAAAGGATTCAAATACACTTCCCAAAAGCTTTGAAGGATATAGGTGCTACATGTGCAAAATAAATAATGAGGCCTTTCAAGGTAACTAGAAGCCTGCAAAGGATGTGAATGTATGTGATAGAATTTTGTGAACTACTTAAAAGGAATATTTATTTTCATCACTAAAACATGCATATTTGGAGACTAAATATTTTTTCGTCACGCGTTTTCGTCACCATAGACCTTTTTTTGTTGTAGTGAAAGGATTCAAATACACTTCCCAAAAGCTTTGAAGGATATAGGTGCTACATGTGCAAAATAAATAATGAGACCTTTCAAGGTAACCAGAAGCCTGCAAAGGATGTGAATGTATGTGATAGAATTTTGTGAACTACTTAAAAGGAATATACATACATTTTTATTAGACTTTTTATTCTGCAAAAACCATTGGTGGTGGATAGGCTAAGTGGCTAGTGAGAGATAGAAAGTCCCTAGTTGGGGGAGCTATAAAGATTTAAAAGATGCAAGTGATATATATTGATATATCATTGTGAGATTTCATGGGAAATGGAATCCAACTGTCCAAATTGAAAATGCATCTGTTGTGGACCACATTAGAGCAATTGGGGCATAAAAAATTGTCTTTTGTCAGAAACTGGAGTTTGTTGCACAGGCTAAGGGATATTTACTTTCAACCAAACAAATCTGTTCTAATGAAGAAAATTTCTCATATATTAGAAATATGTCATTGCTGAGCTGATATTAAAGACAGGATGGGGAGTTTTTAGTCTTCTTGTTTTCATGTCAAAATGCTAGGAAATGAAGTCGACCATCTATGATCATGATCGGAAAATGGTTTGAAAGTTTGAATAGAGAAAGTTCCAATTGAGGTTGTTTCTTGTACTCATTCTGATTTTGTTTATACTTTGTCATGCAAATCATACACAACCATACCTTTATTGAAGGAAAAAAAAATACAATATCCATGTTTACAAAAATTGGCTAATAAACCTGCTGCAACAAATAGCTAAGATGCTAGTTTTTATTGATTTTTTAGCATGGAGGAAAAAAAAAAAAAAGCTACCATGAAGATGTCATTTGAACATGATAGAAAATAAATAAATATAAATGCAAGGTGAGTGGACACATGCCGGCGTAGCGATAACTCTGAGTTCTAACATTATCAGTAGTATTTCAATTTTGAAGTGATAAATTACAATTTACAACAAGATACTTAGTCTGAAAATTTTCAAAAAAAAGTACCTAGCACTAATATCAACCCCAAAGACAACAACCCTCCTCCACAATACAAAAACAAATATACTATCCCTGAAGCAAATCATCTCTAGAAAGTTAAGTAATCTAAGGTTTCTAACTAATTCTTTAAGTTAGATTAAAAAAAAAAAAAAAAAAAACAACAACAACAACAACAAATCTTATCAAACGGTAAAAGAGCATCAACAGGTAAAACAAAAAATCTTATAGAATTAAGAGGTAAAAGAGCATCTTTCCATACCTACAATAACAAAAGAAAATACTGAATCAATTATAGCCCCAAATGACATAGAGAATGTTAGGTTTTTGTTATTGGCAATCCCGTTTGACAAAACTCCTTTCAGTTATAATTTTTTTCGTTGTTATACTTCAGTGAGGTTATGAGTATTTAGATACGAATCAAACTCGAATCGTGCCGATGCAGAGGAGTTTGGTCCCAGAAGTTTTCACTGACTGTAAAAATATTGAGAAGTTGCATTTCTCGCTCAAGCGACACTTTGGTGGCTCTAGCGAAGACACTTGGAAAAACATGTGTTGTAGTATCCTCGCTTGAGCGAGAATTCTTGAGCTCAAGCGAGCATCGCGGCCCTATTTTCTATAAATATGTGGTTCTATCAGAATTCAAGGGTACAACTCCAGATCTTCTTCTTGGATATTAGAGTTTTCTTCTGGAGCTTCTTTGCTAGTTTCTTTGATGTTTGTTTGAGTTTAACTCATGGTTTGAGAAGTATACATCAAAGGATTGTTTGTTTCATTCAATACAAAATAGAGTGTTCTTTGGTGAGTTCCGACGAATTCGGGCCTGAAACTTTGGTGGATTCTGGAGTGGCTCATCGTTGTGGATTCGACATCATTGTTGTGGATTCAACGTTGAGCAAGATGATTCCGAGGTGAAGACGGTGGTGGAAGAGGCACATAGGGATCGGTTCGATTCGGGCGTGGATTCGCTAGGTAATTGAGAGTACACTTGTGTAATTCCTTTATGTCTTCTTAGTGGATTGTTTTATGGCTTTTGCCTGTGATTTTTTTATCACAATTGGAGGCACTCTAATTGTGGTTTTTCCACGTAAAATCGTTATGTCGATTTTCCTTTGATTGTTTGATTGGGATTGCTATTTACTGGTTAAAATTGATACATAATCACAAATCAATATCTCTAGGATTTTAGATTTTTCAGAGAGGGTCTTCAATGAGAACATATATTGAAATGACATAGAGATGGTCTTCAAAGAACAAACAAACGATATCACACAGAGAGGCACAAGTTATATGAAAATGCATGCAAATAAACTGCTTGAGTCATGAACTAATTAAATAATGAATTATAAGATGTTGGCTTCTAGGTGGGGAAAAGAGCATAAATTACCAAGATACACCGATGAAAAAATTACAAAATATGTTTCACCACAACCAAAAGGAGAAGTAGAGAATGGATCAGAGTTATAAATCTATGTGATACCAAAAAAGGAGATGGAGCACCATCTGCAATTTATAAGTTACCAAGATAACTGATGAAATTTGTGTCAAAGATTTGCGGTCTATTGTTGGGCAACAAATGCTTTCAGCTTCTCTTTTGTTATCAAGTAGTCATTACTAGAGTATGCTCTGTTTGGGGATGGTGCACCATTTGCAATTTAGAAGAATTTAATCACTTTTATTGTTAATTTTTTTTTGTAATGGATGTCTAAATACAAAGGCCAAGTAAAAACTATGGTACTTCAAAATAAATAAATAAATAAATAAAGAAAAAACACTAAAACAAACACATACACTAGTAGCAACAATTAAAAAGGCTTAAAAATTTTCGGGGCAATTCAATTGGTTAATCCATAAAAAATGGTACATCACAAAATTAATTTCATAACACTGAAAGATGAATTGCTTTCTTAATCTCATGTGCTTACTAGTTTTAAGATTTAATATATGATGACTAGAAAGAAAATTGAAGATTGTCATTCTCTCCATTGCATATTTGTAATGGAGAGGTTCCATTAAATCAATGATTTGCAATTAAATATACATGCACTTACCTTACACCAAGAGTTCTTTTGCCTTCTCAACCAGGTAATATCTACATGAACCACAAAAAATAAAAATAGAAATGTTAAGAATCATGGTTATTACAAAATTAATCCATAAACCACAAAAAAAATGGGGGGCAAAAAAAGAAAGAAGACTTTCAATTACAAGGTACACATTGCATATAAGAAAACAGTGCCAGATTATTAACATCATCTATTTAAAATTCAAATCTTACCAAATATAACATTGAACAATTCGAGCCTTACCAAAACTGCCATTGAAAACTTCAAATATTGTCGGATCTACTATTGTATACTACGAATCTATTAGATCTATCAATTAAAAAAAAAAAGTTCATGCTAAAGTTCCCCATCAATTTAACACCGACACATGGCATTTAATACTAATCCAGTTGAATAAAGTTCATGCTAAATTCTAATACACAATCATTATTTCCTCATATTTGATCTCAATTTTTTATTATCAATAAATTACTTCCTCTGATTTTCAAATCAAGTAAAAATCGAAGTCCTAATACAAATTTTAAATAACAAATAAATCTAAAATTCCATTATTAAATAACTGACCTTCTGTTTTTTGGCATCGATGTAATTCCTCACACCAGGTACCAATCTGTTGTTCAAAATCAAAATCATCAAAAATGCACAAGATGAATTTTACTTTTTAATAAATAACAAAAATGCACAACAAGTAGGTGTAAAACCAAGTGCTAAGAGGAAATCAATTCCTTGCCCTATCAAACAATACTTAGTTAACTTCTTTTCCATCTAGATTGACTCCTAAGCAATCTATACAGGGTCTAAACCAAATGCAATTTAATTAAATCCTTTACATTCCAAACATGCAATTTAATTTATTATTCATGAGAAATGTAACAACAAGAGAACCTAGGAGCTTCATGGATTCACATTATCTCCCCTACAATGAAACTTCAAGAGCTCTCTCTCTCTCTCTCTCTCCACTGTAATTGGAAGCTAAAACAATAGCATATAATGAACAACCGAAATTCTCAAACTAACTCAAATTTTAATAACTGAAACTAATTTAACCAATAAATTATTTTTTAAAATTCAACAACTATCTTTTAAAATAAAGATTACTATGTTCTTAATAGTTTATATTTAACAATTAATGCTTATATCATTTAAGACAAATTTTAATTAAACAACATTAACACTTGGGTAATTAGTAAATTGTGATTAACAATAAAATCCGCTTAAAATGCATAATATATACCTTGGTTAAGTAATGATACATGAATTGGAGATGATGCATAGGTTCTAATACCATGTATCCTATCATAATATTAGCAATCACCGACACTGTAAAGACCCAATATCACTTTTCTACAAGTCAACAAAATTAGTTAACTAATCGATCGCACATCTAAAATTTTGCAAAAGCATCAATTAACTAATCAATTGGAAGAATTGGCCACTCCAATTAATTTTCCAATTGATCGGATGGCTTCGCCAACACTAATCCATTCACCAATCGATTGGAAGGTTTGTCCACCACCAATCAATTGTGCAATTGATTGGATGGATTGGCCAACACTAATCAATTGTTCAATAAAAATTATAAACATTCATGCTAGCTGTAGCTTGCTTTTCGTTCTCCTTTCGGATACAACTAGCCCTACAGTTCGGACTCCCGTGGTTCTGAATCTGATTTCACGGGTGCAATGTGAAACAGTGAAAACTCAAAAGAATCCAAATTCGGCAATTCTTTTGGAAAATCAATTTGAATAAAAAAATGTCAAAAAATAGACTGCTTTGCCAAATTATAGAGTCGCCACCTAAATATTTTTAGAAAATTTAGGCAACCCGAGACTCGTGCCAGAAGCCACTTATCCGTCATCACCAAAGTGTCTCGGCTCAGGAACTTAGGTACGAGAAGGGAAAGTCATGAATTGAGCACCCCACTTGCCCGATCAAAGATCGGCCTCTACTAATCATGATGCGATTCTTATTTACATTATATGCTCTTGTTCCGATTATTAGCTATTTTTACTATGTGTTGCACACAAGTATAGACCAATTTGCAAAAGTTGGAACACTTTGATTTCATGTTTGGTTTGAAAATTGTTTTTGATTGAAAATGTGAGTTTGTATGCACATTAATCAATCTGTCCCAATTTTGGCAATTAGCCTTCATCCACAGGCATTCACGCAGATATATCAATTAAGTACTTTGCCTCATGGAAAGCATGCTTGACATTATAACACTAACACGCAATGCATCATGCTAAGGCTCGAAATTGCTCACCCAGTACTCCAAGCCAAAACAAAGAAAAATAATTAGAAACTATGCATGCTCCTAACTAATGCAATATGACTAATGTGACACATACAAGTTATGTAATTTTAATAGGCTCGGCTATGAACATGGTATATGATTTCATTCAAGACATGCGATAAAGCACGTATTCAAGCAATGAATTCTAAACAATTAGTTAGTATGATGAGCCAAACCTTGGATGCATGCAAGACAATGGATGCGAATCATAAGAATGCTAATTTGAAAAATGATGTTCTATACTAACCATCGTAAGCAAGTAAGTAAAAGGGAGAAAGACGTAGGGTTGGAAGACATACAACTTATTACATGCTTACCCTCACGCAAAAGGGTGCGAATCAAAGCCCGAGAGTCCGAATTAAACTAATTATTACAAAACCGAATGAATAAGTAAGGAAAGAATTAACTAGTTAGCTACTCTATTACAAGGATAATAATGAAAAATAACCTAGCTATAACAATTACAAATAAACAATAACGATAATTACAACAATGATATCAACAAGACTAATTGACTACAACAATAATAATTCATTACAACAATACTCGGAGCATTAATTTACAACATTGATGTAAGCAAGGATACACAAGGGTTGCATGCACAGTGTCCAAGAACAGCTCTGTCTGTTTAGGCCTACTCTGTTTCACCTTCAGCCACTACCCTTTGTTTTCTGCAAAACATACTGCTAACCAAACATTGATGGCCGGCCGGCCCCTAATAAAGCCCAGCCGGGCCTAAATAAGGCCGACCGTGCTTTAATTTTATGCAAAATCCTGTTTTGTGCTCTGAAGTGAAAACAGTGCAGACAGAGTTATTCTGAACTCTGTTTGTCCCTTTCACACTTCTCTGTCATGGGAAAGCCTCAAGAGAAGGTTGGAATCGTTTCCAAAATCATCAATGAGCAATTTGTTTGCTTGATGATTTCGGTTACAATTTGGACAAAATTCAATGAATGCAACAAATAACGACCAATCCTCACTCTTATCATGGAATGAGCTCAATGAGGGAGGTAGAGGCGCTTCAAGGGTCTTCAAAACACCATGAATTGATGTGTGATGAGTCTTGACACAATAGACTCGGCGTAACGTTTGGCCGAACCCAAGCAATATAGCTCATTTTCTTTATGTTGGTTGGTTCATTTTAAGCCATTTTTCTCAGTCTTTTCCATTCTTTAACCCATTTGTTCAAGATGATTGTTACGTCCACTAAAGATTACGCCCACCAAGTGAGAAACATGTCAAACGGGAAGTGGTTCTCAACATGAAAAAGAGACTATGCCGTTGACAATGAACCTCTGTAGAGATTAAGTCAATAAGCATAGATCTCTAGTTCATGTTTTGAATAACCATCAACCAGTTGAAACAACTCTGAAATGAAAGAAATAGATGGTAGGTTGTTAAAATGAGGCATCTTAACATGGAAATTAATTAAAAAAAAGCTAGAACAACATGTAACAAGCTATGTATATGGACTTATGATACAACAAATGGACTAATCAAAGCTTGAACCAATTAAACAACATAGGACAGTCCTAAAAGCCCTTAATATGTGAAAAATAGTGGCTCAAAGTGCATGAAAAGAGCCTAAAAAGCTAAACAACAAAGAGA